TTTAACTTAGATTGTGCTACAAATTAGGTGGTAGCATTGGCTTGAAACGTGAGCATTTCCCCAACTCTTGTCAGAAAAATTCCCTCGTGCACACATTGTATTGCACATGATATTGTTCGAGAGTATATCCAAGGTGTATTTTCCTTTAAGGAACACTCTCTGCAAAATCGCATAGCAAAAACGTCTTCTCTTCTTCAATGCCCATTATGACTAAATATCCCTACCAAAATCCTCAAATCGCTTTTGCATAGGTTCTTCTAAGAGGAGCAAATATTTTGTGGTGCAAATGCTCTTTTAGAACTACCTCCTCTAATATGTTATCGCAGCAGTGGCAGGGTGACGCTATCGATCCATGGCATGGCAAAAGCATAGCGCTAAGTGAAGAGTAAAAACAACCGGCAAGCATATGCTCGTGGAACGATCGAAGTTCCGTAACTACACTCTTCCGACCCTCTTTAGAATTGAAAACATTGCGCTAGCACGTTTTGCTGCACAATCCGCAAAAATTGCAACGGTTGTGGCGAGCTAATGGTCTAAATGACATTTGCGCTCGGCCCTATCATCCTCGAAGACGTTTTGAATTTCAACATCATGTTTACACTGTGACATTCAGCCTCGCACTCCTTAGACCTGAGGCGGCGCCCGGGGAGTTGAACCCGTTGTTGAAACCTGAATTTTGCCGCTCATCGCACTGAACACTCTCACCGCTTACGTGGGTCATCCACAAAACGTCTGCAGTTCTCAGCGCCTTGCACTCCGTCAAACCGATATCAGCGTTGAGTGTTGTAATGTCAGGTGACCAGCAAAAAACTGAGGTGGAAAGTCAGCGGAGGTATCTGCGTGTTATTGTGTGCTTAGAATTTGCTTTGTTGAACTTAAATTTGTTTTGCGGTGTCCACAAGGTTTATTGGCTGGATTTATTCATATTTTAACATAATAACTTCTGTCTTTCAGTTTTTCCCATATTCCTTCCATATGCGCACAACAATTTCTTAGCTATTCTTCTCACTAGCATTCGCAAAGTGAAAGAGCCTCTTTGTGTAACAGTTACTCATTTTTAATTTTTCTATTTTCCTGTCAGAGGCAAGCCTCCAATTACTCTACCGCTTTCTCCTTCACTCACACATTTGTTATTTCTCCTGAGTTTGAGATTACTATATATCAAGTGGGGCATGAGATCGAAAGATAAGCAATCTTATCACAGTACTCATGTGTCACAATTTCTAATCTGCAGCGACTATTTGGCCACACATACTGACTAGTGAACTGGCTGCATCTTGAGCTCCATTGTGTGTCCGTGATTTCGCTAGGAACTATTGGAAATTATGGCTGCACCAGATGGCGGCCCTAAGGGAGATCGTGTCTGGTGCGATGGCTGGTGAGTGTTTATTGTTTACATCGGATTCTATAGTCTTGTCTTTTATACAGCTGTTTAAATTTGATAACGGCAAATTTGGCTGAGTAAAACCGCTCATGGGTTAGCTTTGGTATAGGGTTTTTCTTAAAAATATCTAATATTGTAGAATACTGTTAGTTCCTCATTGTAGGTTCTCTCTTTGCCGTAAATTTGTACTGTTCAAAGTTTTGGGTTGAAATAAAACAGAATGTTGTCAAAGGTAGCCAAATAATTTATCCATTTTGAAAACTTCACTTTGAAAGAGTAAAAGAATTAGGGCAAAATTTAGAGAAGATGTTCTTTGTTTATGCGGCAAATTGCTGCACGCTGTAAACCTGCAGCCTTTGAATGGATCGTGTTTCGCCGGAAGTAGTCATCAGTGGTAAGTGATTGGTTACAAATTTTGCTAGAATAAGACAAAACTGATTAATTTGGTACATCACAGGAGGGATGAAATAATCATTAATAAAGCATCATTGTTCTTCCAAAAAAAACTAGGGTTTCGAGGTGAAGTTGTCAAATTAGA